ACGCTGGGCCATTATTAAGCGCGACCGCTCGTCTGACCTCCGCTGCGGGTGAAGAAGGTAAATAACAGAGCGTGGTGACGCAGCTCAGTGGGCGGAGCGACGTGCGTCGCAGCAGCCAATCCCCATCACGTATGATGTGACGTCATTCAGAGCTCAGCCCTCTCCACAGGCTCTAGAAATCTGTGCGCGTGTGTGCATTGTTTTGAGATTGAGCGTGAGCTATATTTGACGACGATTTATTACACTATATTTACTGTAACCTGCTATTTATATGTTTATAGTAAATGTGCTATAAATACTATTTGTACTAATTTATATTATAATACGACGCCTTATAGTAGGCCTATGTATTCAAGGTACTCAAAACGAATTAATGAATTAATGAATTTAATGAATGAATGAATGAATGAATGAATGAATTTAATGAATGAATTTTCTCCTTCACACTACTTCCAAAACCTGTTATTATTTTATAGGCTACAGCAATCTGAAAGAAAAAGAAGAAAACACCAGACACATTTTATATTTTATGCATATTTTACATACAATTTATATATGCCATTTCGACCTAAAGGATTAAGATTCAATGTTTTAAATGATTATTTTTGATGTTGATTGTAATAGTAGTATTAGTACATCATAAGGTGGAAGCTCAAATATAAAATCTGATTTGCATTTTTATCATTTTGATGCATTTATTTAAAAATGTTTAGGTAATGTTTTAGATGTATAAAACTATTCAAACATTTCATATAAGACATCATACCTGCTCCAAAGATGATGCACATGTTGGTCCATTATTACGTAAAATGTTATAAATTGTAAGGCAGTTTGTTGACAAAAAAAAAAGTGATTATTGATGATTGTATCTGGTGGTAAAGAAATGACACCATTGTTTATCATCATGAAATCATGAAACTTGCATTGCATAACATGATTGCATTATTCCTTGTTTTGTTTTGTTTTTTCAGTGAGCTGTTGTTTAAACTGGTCTGTAAGATTTTCATATGTTTTTAGGAAGTTTTATACTCACCAAGGCTGCATTTATTTGATCAAAAAAATACAGTAAAAACAAAAACTGTGAATTATTAATACAGTTTAAAATAACTGTTTTCTGTTTAAATATATTTTATAAATGTAATTTATTGCTGTGATGTAATAAGTTATATTAATTGGTGACACTTTATTTTAAGGTGCCCTAGTTACACGTTGCATTACTATTTTAATTATGCATAATTACATGCAAGTAACCCTAAGCCAAACCCTAACCCTATAGTAGGGTACATGAAGTTAATTAATATTATTACTCAGTAGCCTACTTAAATGTATAATAACAAGGACACCTTAAAATAAAGTGTAACCCATTACTTTATTAAAGTAACTGAAATAGTTACACTACTTATTACATTTTGAATAGGGTAACTTGTAATCTGTAACCTACTACATTTCCAAAGGAACCTTCCCAACTCTCTCGCCTCCCGTCAATGAACGCGGCGGGTCGCGGAGGGCGGGGCAGCGGAAGTGCGACCGGACCATCTGATCTGTGTCCTACGCAAGACCGTCGCTCCGCCTCGCTCTCCTATCGGACCGTTTCCCTGCCGCATCCATTTTTGTGCATTCAAGAAATCTCTTGGAGTTAGCAGCAGCAGCAGCAGGAGGGAATCGCGGGGAAGTCCGCCGACACCCGCAATAAGGATCGCGGCAGCGGCGGCAGCCATGGGTTAGACTACATTCACCATGATTGCGAAATAAAAGGCAAGCGCCCGTTTTATCTCCACACACACATTAAAGCCTGGGATGCCCTCGGCTCCCGGAAACGCGAGAAGCCCGAGGGTTTTCTCAGACCTTATTCTCAGAAGATGCTTGTCTTTATGAGGCAGCGTGACAAGCTACATTGCTGTCACTGGGATGCATATTGATTCTAGCTAGTAATGCACCACTAAATCCACCAATGCAGGGTGTGAAGGTGTCAGAGATGAGCTAACGTGTTATTATCATGAAACCATTAGTTGTCTGCGGTTTTCATCATCGTAATGCATGTAGTAGATGAGATCAATACACTTATGCATCGCATAAACACAACACTGGCTACACGTGTAGGATGCATAGAGATGTGTTTAATGTTCACGCATCGCTCTCTCAGCAGCATCCACACCTGAAGATGTCAGCTTTGGGGGCCCCTGCGGCTCCCGCTCCGCCGGACCTGAGCCACCTCACCGAGGAGGAGAGGAGGATCATCCTCTCGGTCATGGAGCGGCAGAAGACAGAGGAGGAGAAAGAGCAGTCCATGCTGAAGTAAGCTTGTGTTCAGCACCCTTAATAGGGGGCGGGGAGGACTGCATTTGTCTCTTTAAACGCGCTCCCTCCTGTCATTTTCAGCATGACTGTCTCCTGAAATGTAATACGTCTGCTTACGTCGACTGTCAATATTAGGCTATTGTTGAGACGAGCGCGGACAAAACAGAAGGGGTAGCCGTCAGAGGGGTCAATGTCACGCATCTGGCGGCTTTTCGTCGCTCGCGTGCCGCGTGTGGATGTAGTATTTCGCCTCTGGTGGGCTGGGTTAGCTGTGGGCGCCATCTTCGCTAAAAACCCCACCAGCCGCCGTTTATACCAGAGATTACTACACGTTTGAATGCGTGCTGTCGAATAGGTCAGGCGTTAACTATTAACGCGACGCCCAGCGCGGCGATGTTTGCGTGATAGCGGTTGCCATGGAGCCCGGCGCGGTGTTTTCAGCACCACGGCGCTGTCCGCTGCGGATGCGTGTTTCTCTGACAGATCAGCCTTCCTGTGTGTGTGCGTGCTTGTTTGTGCTACATTATGGGGACCAAATGTGATAGTAAAAGCTGAATTTTTTTACATTTGGTCCACACGAGGAAAAAATTTATTAAAAATAGTAAATGATGCAAACAGGTTTTCTGTAAGGGGTAGGTTTAGGGTTAGGGGATAGAAAATATGGTTTGGTCAGTATAAAAGTAATAGAAGTCTATGGAAAGTCCCCACAAACATGTGTAGGTGTGTGTGTATGTGTGTGTGTTTGCTTGACAGGCCTTATTAATTGCAAGGGTGCACCTGTTTTTCTTGTGTGTGTAGAGGTAGTTGATATCAAGCAGTGAAAGTGTACCGCAGTGTGACATGAAACACTTCCTCTAAGTCTGTCTGAAAAAGCACTGGACCAGTAATTATTGTTTAAGTACTATAGTATTTTTTTTTTAGTTTTGTTTGTGTATGCATGTGTGTGTGTGTATACAGTGGTGGCCAAAATGATTAGAGCACTAGTATTTTCACCAGCTAAAAAAAATGGGTTTAAGTCAGTTATTTCTATCTTTTGCTGTAGTGTGTCAGTAGGAAATATCAGTTTACATTTCCAAACATTCATTTAGCCATTAATTAAATGCTGTAAAATGGGGATGCTGTCAAAAATAATGTCAGAAATAAATTTTCTTTATCAATTAACTTCTATTAACTAAATCAAAGCAACATTTGGTTTGAGCATCCTTTGCGTTTAAAGCAGCATTTGCCCTTGGTGCACTTGCGCATAGTTTTTTAGGGAGCTTTGCAGGTAGGTTTCTTGAAGCATCTCGGAGACGCTGCCACAGTTCTTCTGGATTGAGTCTGTCTCAGTTTGTTCTGTTTCTTCATGTCACTCCAGACAGACTGGATGTATATGTACAAATTTGCATTTTTGACTATGTTGGTCAAAAGGTGAAAGTGATTTGCACTTTTTGAGTCAAAATACTGCTATTTTTGTAGTTTAATATTATTAATTTTACTTTTAAAATTATATTGATAGCATGAAAATTGCTAAATCATTTTGAAACATTTAGTATGATTTTTTATGGTCTGAAGCAATTCTGCACTGTTCTGCTCTATTTAACATAAATCTATATTTATATTTAATATCATATTTATGTCATTTAAACCTTTTTATGCCACTTTTTGAGTCAAAATGCTGCTATTCTTGTAGTTTAATACAAATTTGATTACAAATGATATTAATAGCATGACAATTGCTATATCATTTTGAAAAATTGAGTATACCTTTTTATGGCGTGAAATGATTCTGCACTGTTCTGCACTATTCAAGATAAATGTATATTTATATTTATATAATATTTAAATAATTTAAACTTGGATTTTTATGGCATGAAATAAAGAAGATTCTGCATTACTTCTAATCAAATGCAAGCAATTGTATTTTTGACTATATTGGTTGAAAAGTCAAAATGATTTGCACTTGCTACTGTTTTAGCTTAATACAAATTCCAGCACATATTAATAGCATGAAAAATAAGCATGAATTGGAAAATATCCCTCTTTTGTTTTAATGTCTGCAGCATTTGATCTGCATGAGCTCCTCAAGTTTGTATGAAACCTGATGATCGTGTTTTCAGCACGATTTGAGCATCTGTTCAAAGAGTCATATGATCATGAACTACTCATGACCTGGAGTCCACTGTGATACAGTCATCTGTTATTTCTGTATAAAAACACACACTAGACGTTGCTTTTGACATACGAGAGACAAACTGATTGCTGAGAATTGATGGTTTTATCCACATTTATCCACGTATTGCTCAATGCCTCAAGGCACTGGGTAGAATTGAAAATATTTATTTCAACTATCCCAAAATGAAGCATCTGTTTATGGAGCAGTCTTGCGATGTGGTTCTGCATCTTGCCCTTACTATTTGCTCTCAGATGCAGTGGGCTTTGTGTTTAGAGAGATTATTTACTGGAGTGGCCCAGTTGGCTCCACGGTCCAGGGCTGGACTGAACCCAGTGAACCTCCAGAGCTGTGCCAGAGCTCCGCTCACGTCTGACCGGCATCACTACCAAACAGCGTGAGCTTCAGCTGCGCCACGTGCCTGTTTGTTGATATAGAGAACTCAGACCAAACTGGTGTAACTCACCTCCAATGCTCAAGTTTCTAGTATTATCGCATGCTTGTTCTAAAAACTCAATGGACTCAAGCTCTCAGTGTCACACTTCCAGAGTGTACTGTTGGGATACTGCTGTGTTCTGATGCCTCGAGACTGTGTTTATCAAGCTCTTGTGGTGGCAGAGTTCATGTTTCTGATAAGCCATATCACTGATGTTCTGCATAATGCAAACATGTCTGGGTTATTGATGAAATGATAACTGTTCAGTTTAGTTATTTGTTTATGGTGACATACCACCGGTCAAGGTTTTTCTTTTTTTTTTTAAGTAATGTATACGTTTACTCAGCAAGGATGCGTAAAATTGATCAAAAGTGACAGCAAATACATTTATAATGTTACAAAAGATTTTTATTTCAAATAACATAATTCATCAAAGGATCCTGAAAAAAATGTATCACGGTTTCCACAAAAATAAAAAAATAAAATGTTTCTTTAGCAGCATATTAGCATGATTTCTGAAGGATCATGTGACACTGAAGACTGGAGTAATGATGCTGAAAATTCAGGTTTTTAAATCACAACAATAAATTACATTTTACAATATATTCACATAGAAAGCAGTTATTTTAAATTGCAATAATATTTCACAATATTACTGTTTTTACTGTATTTTTGATCAAATAAATGCAGCCTTGGTGAGCAGAAGAGAGAGAGAGAGAGAGAGAAATGACCAAATCATTTGAATGCATGTGTGCGTATAAAATCTGCAAAGTTTGTGATTTTCACTTCCACCCCAAATGATCTGTTCGCACTGTTGTTGTGCTGAAAGTATAATAGGACATTGATAGCTTAAAAAATCAATGCGTTTACTGCCAGACTCAAACGCGCCAGAGTAACTACTGAGCATGAGAAGAGAAAACGTTCTTGTGCATTTTGGACACATTGCAACCTCAAGTGAGATTTTCCAAATATTCCACATGAGTAATTGCTATATTTACATTTACATTCATTCATTTAGCAGACTGGTAACTCTTTATTTTACAGTGTCTTTGTTACACATTACAAAAAAAGGTCACAGCACGCATCTCCAAATAAACCGCATGTTGTGAAAACATTATATGAATGTCTGTTTTATTCAGTTGGAGAGACTGTATTTAAAGCTCCTTAATGGCGGTGTCGGTAGCTGGCATGAACTTGTTTGACTGACACAGTTTTGTAAGGCCTGTGCCACTGGAGATCTCACAGTCACTCGGTCAGATGTCAGTCTCTCTGATCTGGGTTGGATACTGTGGCTTAATCTGATCGCTGTTTTATTAATCGTAGTCTGTGTAGTTCACCAGTGTCTTCCTCACAAATGTGTAATTAAGGTTCATAGATTCTTAACATCCAAGAAAAACATTTTAGAAGAGCTTGCTGTTTTTTATAGTCTAGTTTCTTGTGCATGTTACTCCAAGTTCAAGTCAAGCTTGAATTTATGGTAGTTTTATAGCATTTGGATTTAAAACATACACTGAAACACTCATCTTAAAGCGACAGTTCAGCTAAAAATTAACATTTTGTCATCATTTACTCAACCTACATGAGTTTCCTTCTTCTGTTGGACACTAAATAAGATATTTTAAAGAATGCTGGTAGCCAGTTGACAGTTGCCATTGACTTCCATAGCATGGCAAAAAAATTCTATGGAAGTCAATGGCTACTGTCAACTGTTTGGTTACCAACATTCTTTAAAATTTGTTCTTTTGTGTGAGTGAATAAATGAATTTTCATTTTTGGGTGAACTATCCCTTTAAGAAAGGGGTTTCAATGTATGAAGAGTTTATTTGCAAAAACAGATAAAACCGTTTTTTTTTGTTTTTTTTCAAAAATGTGACCCTGGAGCACAAAACCAGTCTTAAGTCGCTGGGGTATATTTGTAGCAATAGCCAAAAAAACATTGTATGGGTCAAAATGATTGATTTTTCTTTTATGCCAAAAATCATTAGGATATTAAGTAAAGATCATGTTCCATGAAGACATTTTGTAAATTTCCTACTCCTAACATTTTGTAAATTTCCTAACAAGTCCTGTAAATATATCAAAACTTAATTTTTGATTAGTAATGTGCATTGCTAAGTTCATTTGGTCAACTTTAAAGGAAATTTTCTCAATATTTTGATTTTTTTGCACCCTCAGATTCCAGATTTTTAAATAGTTGTATCTCGGCCAAATATTGTCCTAACAAACCATACATCAATGGAAAGCTTATTTATTCAGCTTTCAGATGATGTATAAATCCTTATGACTGGTTTTGTGGTCCAGGGTCACAAATACAGTATTGGCCTATCATAACAAACCATACATCAATGGAAAGATTATTTCTATTCATTTCGAAAAATTGACCCTTATTACTGGTTTTGTGGTCCTGGG